GCCTTACGGCGGCCGCTTCCTGTTGGGGGCCCTCTCTATGGGGCCCCAAGTGTTCGCCTCGTGAGTTCACCAATATCCCGGCGCTGTGACAGCTGGAAATCAAACCACCACCGTTAAACGACTGGTCGCGTGTATCCGGGACGACAACGATCACGTAACCACGTAAACGCGAGGAAATTGGGAAATCGTAGCCGTCGGATTTCTTCGCCGAGGGAAACGTTTCGTAAAGATATTCTCGATTTCGAACGGAGGAGTTGAACGCTGTCAGAAATCGAAGAGTGGCTCGTAATTTCGGTGACGTTTCAACGTCAACGGCCAAGGAAGTTGCTTCGAAGCTTATGCAACCAGCCCCAGTGGATTATACCGATACGTGGTCAGACGACGAACGACCTCCAAGTAGAATAGACCGTTGATGCATCGGACAGAGCAAACTTTGAATCATGGGTGGATCTTTACATTTTCCAATTTAGAAATTTCACCGTTTTGAAATTTGACAGGCTCGCAAGTTTAGAAATTATGCATCGGTGTAATCTTTAAACAGTTTAACACCGTCTGCAAGAAGTAAATTTTTCACGGTTCAAGAACCTCGTGTCGCGGACAAAAAATTAGCTACGGGGTGGAAGCTTTCCAACGCGAGAATCACTTTGCCATAGGATTACCGGTAATCCGAGAATCATCAATTTTCTTCGAGAAAAGAGCTGGAAGAACAATCGCCACGCGGGGGAGTCTTCACCCTTCTTCTCGATTGTATCGCACTCTGACGCCCACGCTTCCACGCAAATCATTAAGAACAAAAGTATTCCTTCAAACCGTTTTAATTGGAGCTGTCTCTCAATTTTTAAAAATAGAAGTTACAGTAGAAAATAGCAAATCTGTTGCACCTAAATTAGGATGACCGCTCCCTTTCACGGTGCATTCTAAAAATAACGATTAATTATAAAAAACTTTCAAGTGATATTTTTGTGCATCTTTTTATAACCGAACGGAGAACATTTCTGGATAATTTCCGTGTACTATAAAAATGGATCTCAATCTATAATTATTTCCGGTTTAACTAATTCAACAAATGTGATCAAAAAATCAAAACTGGGAAGTAAAAAGAAATTTAAGCAGAATGGGTCAGTAAAGATCTCTCCATTGGAGAGTTAATTAAAACCATAGGGTTAATCAGCAGTGACTCCCACGCGTTAAATCTTTTCCGAACGATCCACCCCTCCATCGACACATATATTTTTAATCGCCTTTTCTGCCGTCTATCGGTTCGAAGTACCACGGCGCCGCTTCGGCACGATTTCCCAATTTAAATCGCGCGTCGGATCGATTCCGTCTCGCGAGATCTTCGGCTCGGTCGTTCGGTAAAAGGCTCGGTGAGCGAACGACGAAAAGGGAGGATGGGTGGGGTGAGGGAAAGATTATTGCACGAGGGGGTGGTTGAACGAGCAGCCGCATCGCGGAAAAGAAAAAGCAGAAAATGGAACGTAGCGTCGCGACGCTTGATGAGGATCTTTTCGTTGCCACGTTGATCGTGGCGGAGAGCGTGGAAAAACTGTAGCGGGAACGAAGCGGGTAATTGGACACCGGCCGGCCATATTAGAGCACGGAGAGACAGACGGAGATAGTGGGATCGAAGAACGGGACGCGAGAAACGCGGAGAAGGAGCCGTGATGCTGCGCGTATTGGCAGACAGACGAAGAACAGAAACGGAAGACGGAAAGAGCTGTAGAGAGAGAGACGTTGCGAGTTAGAGGGAGGGAGAGTAGAAAGCGGAAAAGAAGCGAGGCTAGGGTTAGACTGCCGTGAAGAAAACTAGAGAACAGAGAGACCAAAAGGAAAAAGAAACGAGACGATCGTTGTATGCACTCGAAGAACGGCTATAAACGAGTGAAAGTCTGGATTTTAAACGCTGCGAAAATAGATGAAGCTCGATTGCATCAGACTAGGTTATTCTCTATGAAATTGTCGCTTTTGCAGTTTCAGATTAAAATCTTGAAACTTTCATAATTCCTCAGATTATTTTATCGAAACGGTGAGAAAGTAGCTTGCTTACAGCAGCTTAGAAATTCGAGGTACACACACCGTGTTCGGCTTAAAGTTTTGAGCACCTTCATTGATGCGAAGAAGAGTTAATCTTTCCTCTGTGCGACGTTGAATTACGAACTTTACTTTTCAAAAACTCTGTGTCTTTCGGATTAAACAAGTTCTTCGAGTCCCATCGACAATTTCATGAGGCACAACCTGATACCATAATTCACTCGCGAACATAGAAAAAGAGAACGACGAGAAATCGAACGAGGCCGGAAGAGACGTCGACGTGACCAAAGTCTGTTGCGAGAGATCCGGAAACGGTTCTTATTTTAAAATCATGACGGAAGTTTAAAAAAAGAAAACACGTATACGGAAAGAGGATTATGATAAGACACCCCGGGAAACCGTAGACTTGTTCCGAAATAATAAACAACCTCGAACATGAAACACTTTGAACCGTTTCGAGTCGAAACAGCGAAACTTGGCTGAGTCCGCGAAGCCCCGAGGCTCGGGGCGGGTCGGGCTTGGAAATCCACGAGATTCCCAGGCTCGGCAACGGCAACTGCAACGACAATCTCCCGCGGGAATCGTTAAAGAGCGGCTGGAACGTGTGCAGAAGCATCAGCAGCGTGGATCCCGGTACGACGCGAAAGAGAGGTTTGGAAACGCGTGGAAGAACCGTTTCCACGCCAATGTTAACGCGCGAACGAGCTTGCGCGGTCGGCGAGCGTGTGCATCGGCGGCGTTGTGCCGTTTTAGTAACGGAGCGCACCGGTGCGCACCGGTGTGCATTATCTAACACTTAAAATTAGACGGCCGATGGCGACGGCGAAAAGAGATCCTCTCTCAGCCTCGTCCAACACCGATTCGTCGCCTCTCGCTCTCCGTCTCTTTCTTTCTAACGCTCGCTCGAATCCTGGATTAGCGGAACAGAATCTCACGCAGCGATTATCACGAACTGATTCATTTCACTTCGCCACTGATTCATCACGTGATATACTCTCGATTCTTCCCTCGTTCTTTTTCCTTTTATCGCTCCCTTTCTCGCGGGACCTCACGACCAGATGTACGGAGAAGAGAAACAGCCGACGGTTAGGCACTTTACAGAAACTGGGACACCAAAAGACGAGACGGTAATAGGCGACTAGCTTATTCCACCGCACTCTTCCTCTACGTATGTGCGCGTGTTACGCGTACGCCACGTTTTTCCCGTCACCGATTACTTATCGAATACGAACAGTGATGTGGTGTTATCGTATGACGAAGGATGATGAGGTGCCGATTACGAGGTTACGAGACGCACCGCGTTCGTCCGGGCCGGCTGGCCGCCCGTCTCAGAGTGAATGTCTTATTAGTTATTTCTGGCTAGCTACAGAAGCCGCTCTGTTCCTCCTCCTTCTTCGTCTTTTCTTGATCCTCTGCCCGAGCTTGCACCCCACTCTCTCTCTACCTGCTCTCGTTCCTTTCCTCGATGCCCGTACGGGCTATCCTCGATCACCGTTTCCCTACTGATCGCCAAACGTTGATCTCATCCCTTTCATCCGAGCATTCCTTCCGGTCCCGTCAAATTTTACTTTACGAACCCTGGCGAAGAAGCTACACGGCTCTTTCGGGAAGAACCTGACGAGAAGACCCTTCTAGCGACACGTTTCCGCTTTTAAAAAACAGAGTACACAGGCTACCCAAGTCTCGAAGGAGTTCAAAGGGCGCTCCCTCGAATCGTCGAAAAGCTGTGAACGCGGTCGATTGGCTGGAAAATATCGAGGGCTTTCAGTCGATCGTTCCAGTTTTAGTAACGAGGCTTCTGTTCGCACGTTCGAGTTCATTAACTTCCAAACAATCACGGCAATTTTAGGTTTCTTTCTCCCTCTCGTAAATCACGTTCCACGTTATTGCATTTTTCTTTTTTTTTTCGTCTGTCGAACATCCGCTGAAAGTAATAACGACAAAAACGGGACAAACTTTTCGTTCGATCGAGGTTTCCTCGAGATTTATCATTTCCCCGAAGATAAGCCGGTGGTCTGATCTTTTCCTATTCTCGGCCTCGTGATTTCTTCTGACGGTTAATGGGGAAAAAGTTTTTATATTAACATCGTTCGGCTTTTTTTCGTTACGAATAGCCCTTCGTCGCGACAAAAGGCGTTTTCCTTGCGAATGCAGCCGTTCCGGTGCCGAGAGTACGCGCTGAGGAAAGAGGGAAGACATTAAAGAGCGTAATCTATGGCCGACGACGAAGAAAGGGCTTAAAGATGACAAAGTGGATGCTTCGTACTCCCGCGACACGCAGAGAACCCTAACGACCCTTAACGTTCCTGTTTGCGGCTTCCTACCCTTTCGAAACGCTTCGGTAATAAATGATAGAGCGTCACGGAGGTTTCGGAGTTGCTTTTTTTTGCATAATTCACGAGGGTCCGCTGATACTCCACGGGGGAATTAATTTTTAAACTCGCCTACAACGCCTTGTTTCTCGATCGGACCGGAAGCCACGCTCGAGGTATCTTTACCCCTCTTTGTTCCAACGATCGCATGACTTACGTAATTCATTGAGCGACGCTCGCGTTTTTATTTTCAGCGGACTGCTCGTCCGGATGAAATATCGACGATCTGCCGTTGACTTTGGTTGTCCTCCAAAACGCAATCGTTCATGAACGCTCTATTCGCCTTTCGTAATAAAAAAATCATCTTTATAAAGCCATCGATCCTTCGAATATCATAAAATATTATCAACACATTTATTTCATCATGGATTTCGATGACACTTGACTTCTGTTTACGTTTCAAAATAGTGCAGCAAATTGTTAAAAAGTTACAACATCGTATTTTTCTTTATCGGTCTCAGAGTGTTAGTCATTATATCGTAACAGTCTGGCACGTCGATCTTCCGGTTCAGTAGGTACAGCATTCGAATGCCTACGCGTAGTTAGCGATCGTGTATACTCAACCACGTGTTATAATTAGCCCCGGAGTGGTCACGTAGATGACATTAGTCATTCATGTTCAAAAACGAACCGTGTTTATTTATTCCTTGTGTGACAACAATGCTGCATTAAATTTTTAACTAGAAACTATGCAACCTCAACGGGGTTATAATAAACCGGAGATGTAAAAAGCGCTTATTCGTGGTAAAAAATTAGCCGAGTTCACTCGTGTCCCACGAGGCAACGTGTTACGTTTTAAAATGGATGGCGCTTATCACGTAAGCGACATTAGGGTTAAACATCGAATTATTATCGTTTGAAGCGGTGCTCCATTAGACCGAATTGTCTCGAAATGCTGATTCTCTAAATAACAAGCAGCCGAGGGAATTAGAATTTCGCCTCTGTTCGCGACGTGTAATGAGATACGAGCTGGAGTCACGGCTGGAACAACAATGAAATATAACTCGCTCGAAATTTCTCTGATATCCGCTCGATCGAACGGCGTTTCGAGCGTGAAAACGCATCCCGCTACGTTTTTGGAATCCTGACTCACGTTGGCTCTCTAAAAATAAAAAGGAACCAACAAGCGGAGTAACTCGTGATATCCGAATGTTCCTTCTAATTTCGGCAGTGAAATTTCAGCGTGCTTCTCTAAAACGCGAATAACGAGCCACGTGGGACGTAAACGTAGCTCGCGCCGAAAGTTTTGAGAATTCCGGCCGTCGTGTACGGTGGTTATTGAATTTTATAGCCCGATACGCTGAAAGGTTTACCTTGTCCGTAATATTTGACCGTTATTTCGGTAATTGAAATGATTTAACGCGTTTAAACTAATCGTCGTGCTTTTACTTCGAAATAGCGTTGCCGGCAATCGACTACGAAGCTTTAGGAAAGCTTCGCACGGCGAAACTTGGAAGCTCGAGTCTCTTAAGAAAATTGAAGTGGAAGATAAGGTTTAAGCAAGAAAGTCTAGCCTGCAAGTTTTCAGCCGCGTAAATAAGTAGCCGTGATGTTGACAAATGAACGTTTACAGCTCGATATTTCTACGGGCGCTTATTCCGTTTCGCGATATTGAAACTCGCCTGGGAAATTTTCGTCGAACCATCGAAATAATTTGCCCGCTACTTAACGGAATTACCGTAGCAATTCCGGCGCGAAGTTTCATCCGCATAGCTCATTAGTCCGGGCCGCGTGCCTCGATAAATAAACTCGCGAAATGACTCGCCAGACAAACGCTACTTGTTCGCTGATATCTCCGACTGGCCCTCTATTGCAACCTTTCATTTACACGTAGCATATCTACTTAATTAACGGAACCAATTTTTCTCTGTGCACGGTACTTCGTTAAAATTTGTTTCACGTTTCAACCATGTCAAAATAAAATAACGAGTCCCTTGATGTATCTCATTTGACTCGCCGTGGAATAATTTAGGAAACGCGTATTTAGAAATGGGGTAGCTCACGAATAATTTAGATTTATACATTAATTTACATGAATACATTTATTTTATTAATGGCCCGAAGCTTTTTCGTTGCACGGTGCTTTATCAAAATCCGTTTCACGTTTTAACGATTCAAAAATAAAACTACCAGTATTTTAGCGTACCTCGCCTGATTTACAAGTAGAATAATTTCAGAGATCTATATATAAAATTCGATCGCAATATTCGTTCGTCATAATCCCCATTCTGTTTATAAAAAAAATGGTGAAATACGATGTACCTCGTTCGGGTATTGTAGTAATTTTTCATATATGTAACAGAGTTTAGTTTTCATCTGCCCTAAAGCGCGTAAAACAGAAAATTATGACATCATATGGAAAATCGAAGGTGTCAGGCATTGTACGTACCGTTGGAACGTGTTAATTTACATCTGCACATCCATTTTATTAATGGGTCGAAGATGTTTCGTGTGCACTTTATCAATATTTATTGAACATTTTATTCATACAAACGTACAATAAATTTAGATTTTTTAAAATCCCGATTTTAAAAAATGCAACTCTTGAATATTCAGAGATCCGTGCAATAAATTTTTAAAAACCAAAGTTCTTAATAATCAATTAATCGTCGTTAAATCCGTTCATTATTTTCTACGTTCCAGATGTTTTTGCGAGTTCAATATTTCGACGAACCGATCCGAAATTGGTCGTTCTTTCGTCCCACCTGAAATCGCGTTTATATATTTTTCGGTTTTCACCGGACAGCCGCGTTAACCGTATAAATCAAGCGAATACGCGTTAAAAATTCCGACCGAGAATAATTTACAAGGTAGAGAAGTTTTCAGTGGGATAAAAAATTCGCGTCGTTGTGACATTCGATTTATCATCGAGCAGGGAATTCGTTGGTTCGGTATTCGAGGAGCATCGAGCGATTTCCGTGCACATCCTCGACGAGCGTTGCGTTTCGCTCGAGCGACCCCTCGAACTTCATTTTCCTTCCGTTTCATCGGCACCGATCGCCCCTTTCCTCTCGATTAATTTTCCCAGCCGTCTCGAACCGGACGACGGACGACGAATTCGTCCATTTAAAAAACCGCGTAATATCGGATTCTCGTCACGTTCCCCGTAATTGAAACGTAATGATGCTGTTCGTTTTCGTGGAACGTGATCCAAAGGACGAAAAGCGCGAGGGAATCGTTACACCCGATCGTTTCCAAAGCGTCGCGGTTGATATCGATCAAGGAATATCGTTGTATAAATCATTTTAACGGCACTCTTTTTTACCGGAATGCCAAGAGTTTCATCGCTCGTTGGGTCGTCGACGTCGAGACGGTGGAGCGAAACCGCAAACCGAGCGCGTTCCATCGTTTCAGCAAATTTACTCGCGATCTTGCCGCCTCTTCAAGACGAATTCTCGAAGAACAGAGAGCTGCAGCGATGTTCTTGTTGCAAGGTGTCAGAATCCGAATCAAAGGGAGGAGCGAATCCAGGCGACAGTATGAAATTAGAAATTCCGAAGTAAACGCGAAACTTACTGCTTATACTTAATGCACGTTTAAGCAAATATTTCATAAACTCTTCGAAACATTTTTCCCGCCATTCCAAAATTGCTCATTCACATTTTATTCGCTAATTAATACGCTGTGTACCGAGGTGGAAACGGCTGTCTGCTTCGCGGTACACTATAATTTGCCATTATGCAAATTTCTCAAATTAACTTTTGCACTGATATCTGTGGATATTATAATATTAAGGGAGTATTAAAAATGAAACTTTCGTTAGCTTGCGGTTTTCACATATGTGTTATGTGGATGATAAATTGTACCGTGTGTGATATTTAATTATTTGTACCGCGTGTTAGCGTCGCTATTTTACTATTCTGTATTAGAACAGGTTAGTGCCGTATTAAAATCTATAAATATCCCTCGTTGTATTACGCATTAGAATTCCTATGCATTGTACTCATCTCTGTATGTTAATATGTATTTCTACTCGCTTACACATGTGTTGCATTGTAACACTATTACACAGTTTTTAGAACTTAATAGTGTTACCAGTTAACAGAACGTGTTATCATGCGTTACTGACTTGTGAGTATCGTTACTGACCCGCGTTAATATTTACACGCGTTATATGGCCACGTTGCATTACTACGTAAAACGGAAATAGCAGAAATTTTTCACCATTGCTTTTTCTGCTCGGCGTACCTCTTGGTTCTTTTTCGAATAGCACTCTTTACACGAGAGGAACAAATTCACGGTCCAACGGGCAAATATTTTCGAGTGGAATTTTTTGTTGCGACAAAAAAGTAAAAAGATTATTCGAAGTTTCGGATCGAAGACGCTACTGTGGCACGGAATTATTCGTGGATTACGGGACCCACGGTGTTTGTATTTTCTGAATCCGGCAAGATTTACGAGACCACCGAGAGAATTAATATCGAAACTAATTTCCAAGGTGTATCGGTCACGAAGAGGTTAAGAAAACCGGAAGAGAAACACGCTGCGGGAAAGTTAATTATTCCTGTTTGAGTTGCCGCGTGAATTCCCTTTTCTAGCCGGAGTTTGCAAGTTTTATTAAAAAGAATGGCAACTTGGAGCAATAGACGAGAGCGAGCGACCCACGGTTTTTACAGAGTTCCATTAATGGAAGAGTAATTAATGAACTACTTTGTAGTATTTCGTATTTATTCCCGTTGGACAGTTTATCCTGAAGCGGCTGAATTATTTGATCTATCATTCGTGGTTATATTTTACTGAATTTTCAAAGAGTTAATCGATTTGTTCGAATAATTTCCCTGGTTCATTTACGGAAGATAAGAACGTGGCATCCCGATTGTCACGGCCCTGGCAGCTATTTTTACCATCGTCCGCGCGTTATTTATAACAACAGACTTATTTCACCGTCGACACGACTTCTATCTGTCGTGTGCAGCATCGGACCTTTGCATTCACCCGAGAAACACGCTGTGCAACTGTTTGGATAAAACTTTTTTTCTTCCAGAAAGAAAAGTTTTCTCTTACAGAGGAAAATTACAGACTAGCATCTTGTATTTTTCTAATTAGCTGTATTAAAATATGGCACATCGCGAGAGCAGTTATTGATCCTCCGACAATTAGAATTGTTTAATATTGCAACGTGAGCTTTCCATCGACAACCTAAATTTATTACTGTCATGATAACGTTACCCAAAATAATAATTTTCTTCTACCTTTAATTACACGATTATATTAAATTTATGGCGACGGTCACCAATACCCGTCGCACAGCAGTCGGTTAATTATTGTAAAAGCTTTGAAACAAAGGGGTCAGGCATTCAGCTTTTGCCGCGTTGTATCGCTAATTACAATCGAGTCTCAAATATTTCCCTTAAACAGAGAGGTGGTAGTTTTAATTAACGAGTGACACGTGCACGTTGATTATTAGTTTCGCTAATCGTTCCTTTTCTTTGATCGTTGCTGTATTAAGTATCTTAACGGCTCTATTCTTCGCTCTTTCATTCCCCGCGATTTGCGCGTAATGAAACGTTAACGACGTTAACGTTGCTGCAAACCGGTAATGGAGACCATAAATTAACGATTGGCTACCGTACCTTCATCACGAACGTATCATAAATATAATTCGCCGTGATTTTCGACAGGTCTTTCAAACCTGTTTCATGCAAATGCCTTCATGTGCATGATTTATTAACATATGCGAAGAAAGGATAATTAACGCCGTATAATTTCGGCATTGTTCGTTTTTCTGTAGAAATCTGCTAGAATTCATTAACGAATATTTGAATCTATGTAATCAAAAAATTTTATTCTTCGCTAATTGCTTTATGTTTGAACAGAACCTTAATGAGCAGATTTTAATTAAAAAATTAGCTATAATGATAACAGAAGTAGGTTAATAAGTATTAAAATTTATGTTGTAAAAGTGATCATTTGTAGACTGGAATTATTTCAAACATACGTTTGCACGAGTTCATGTTCCACAAGTAAAAAGTGCTTCGCACAACACATATGTATATTCGATCATTGCGCAGAGATGAACATCACTTTTGTGATCACCCTTCTAATAGTCAATAACGTCGAAACATAATTATGTAGTTATCGCAAATTGACAAGCCAATAATCATCAATCCGGTGACACGATATCGGACTGAACCATAGAGTAAGTTACATCGTGATTTCATTAACCCATAAATTTAGCTACTCGATCGCAACCGATTACGATCACTATCATTTACAACTCTACCACTTTATTTTACGCTGTCAAATTCCCGTTCTTCTCTTTTAGGAGGGCCAGGAGTTGCTGCAACACGAAGCAGAAGGAATACGGATTGTCGAGCCCCGACTGTAAGTTAAAAGCTTTTAACATAAAATTTGCACGCTGTAACATCCTCAAGATAAGCACCCCACGTCACTGTTATTTATTTACCTAGATTAGCACCGCCACTAAACCTAGTAAATCGTCTGCATTTATGTTTTACATCGACGAACATCAAAAAGGATCAGCTAGAAAAATGCGAGTTTGAAAAATGTTCGGTGGCCGTGAATCTAATCTCGAAATAGTGAAATCACTGATCCGTAATTTTAGTCCAAGGTGTAGGTTGAATGACGCAAATCCGCGAGAAAACAAGAAAGCGGACATTCGGTGTTTCGTATTTTTTCTCATTATGTAACTTAAAAGACGTCGTTTTAAACAAAGACTTTCTACTGGATCTACGTTCCATTTCCACGATAATTACTTTGGCATGATTCCTGTTCTCTCTAGTTTGATACATCATCTACTTTGATGATGTACGAGAAATTTAATACGATTACTTAAGACATTTATTTTGGATGCTTAGATTTGAAATTCGTTCGACGACTTTTGAAGGATATTAAAGTTTACCCAGAAGTGTGCCAATTTGTTCTATAAATAGGAATTTCATAATTATAGAAATATTTGAATATGTGATAGTAATTCACATTTACTTGGCAGGAGCTTCGTGCCAATTATCGTGGTAGATATATTCTCTGTACAGGTGTGCGAAGTTGAGGAAATATTCGTTATATTTTTCTACCATGTGTGTGAGATTACAACGCACGAATACAATGTAGTATACAAAGTATCGGTGTAAAAGCGTCAATCTATAGAAAGTAACGTGAAAGTCCCTATAAGTTGACAATATAACGAGTGTCTATAAAATAACAGATGAAAAGAATTGAAATGATCGTGTTTCGAAATTGCAGGGAAATAGTAAAGTCCATGGAACGTCTGTACGCCGTGCCGTCGGAGAAGCTGCGAGTCTGGTCGATTTGGCTGTCGCAAGTCGGCGAAGTTGCGGACGAATGGCAGAGGTGGATACGTGCTCACATCGATTTGATTGTGAGACTGTCGGACTACTTGCACGCGGCCGAGTTGGCCATAAGGCGGTCCAAAATGGTAAGTTCTGTTTCGTGTAACGACCGGTTACGTGGCTGACCCGTTATTAGATATTTATGTCGAACGCCGCACGGGGCCAAGAAGGGAACGTGAAAAATTAAGGCCATTACAGAAAGTGGGACCTTCGTTCTCTAATTAATAAGTTCGTGGGGTGCGGTTATTTAGGATGAAATTATATTACAGTGAAAGCGTATTTAATGCACGTTAAATTGTCGTTTATTGGAGACCCGGTGCGCTGTAATGGTACAGTAACGTGATATAAAGGCTACCAGATACTCCAGTAAAAATATATGGAATTTGCGCGGTCGTCGATAACGATCGTCGCTTTTTTAAACTTTAAAGCGCTCTCTCTGTGATCGAAATAGGCGAGTTTTCAATTTCATTTTTGAGCATCGAGAATCGAATATTATGTCAAACATTTGGAAAAGGTGTATTAAGTCATTGTCCCCTGCTCATATTTGAGCATACGAGGACGAGACACGATTGGTCCGTTTCAATATCGCTTTCCAATAATTTTGAACGGCTAGAGATAACGCTGGGTCTACCCTGCATGCCACGTTCTCCAACGAACGGAAGACTGTCTTCGTAGATGTACCGCGTCAGCCTGATTAAAACAAAGGCTCGCTAACAATGTGTCTGCGATACGCGTTACGAGCTCGCATAAATATCTTACGGTCGTAAAATCGTATCTATCAGAATACCTTCGTGTCGGCAAACATGAAATTTCAGTGTAAATTACAAGTTTACCTGTCGCGTTCCTATTGAAACAGCCAGCCTGACGAGATGACAATTGGTCGCGCGACGTTCCTCGTTGAAATTGATACAAAGCACTCGGAACTTTGTCACGGCGCTGATCGACGTTTGTGAACTCGACGAAGACTCGTATATTTTCCGACGACGAAAGAGTTTTGGATGCTGACGGGAACATCCGCCGGATTGTTCACGTTGACGAATGTAAACTTCGGTCTTTGATATCAAGTGCTTCAATCTTCTCGTTGGCGTAGTATTTTCTGCTTTGAAATTAATAAGTTTCCCGTAGCGGTAAACATCAATTAAAAGCAGTGAAAGCAGTGAGTTAATTAGAAGCAGGAAGAGGCAAGGATTAATATTAGTTTATCTCAATATTTTGTGAAGGCGGTAAGAAAAGATATTTTCAAATTTTCATCTTCACAAAATTTCTACTTCATAAATTTCTCAATTTGCAACTTCCAAAATCTCCAAATTCGCAGATTAAGTTCTCGTACGTGCGAGGGATTTTCATCGAAGCAGTCCCGTTTTTTCTGCGGTGCGAGAAAATATTGCGAGACGAATGTCTCGAAAGCAGCGATTCTCCAATTTTCTCCAGTATCGAAAAAACCTTAATTTTCCCGGCATGTAGATGGTCGTATCCATTCTAAACAACGGAAACTTAATTTCCCCGAGCGTCCTTGCCAGCATGTTTCAGCTGAAGCACAGGGAGCATGATTTACGGGGGTCGCTGGGAATAGCTGCGTTCCTCAGCATCCAGTTGGTTAACCTTGAACACCGTGAACTCGCAACCAGTGTGTTTCGTTGTCTCAGGACGCAGCTCAGGTGTTGGCCGCGCTTTTTCAGTCTGCCCGGAGATTTATGCCCGAGGCTACATGCTTCGGTGACGCGAGGGAGCGGTTTAAATCTCTATCGTTCTCCGTTGCTCTCGCGACGAACGAAAATCACGGTGTACAGGGAGAAAAAAAAGATAGAAGCGTCGCGGTGAAAGCGTCACCCACACATGTTGCTTCGTGATTTCGCGGGGGCGGTCGACCTTCGGGCGAAAGTTATTCGAAACCATCGCTAGGAGATCAATCGACGGACTAATATATTTAGTTCGGTGCACCCTGCCACTCCCTCTTTAATAAAGGAAGGCGAAGGTCTGAATAATTCAAGGTTGCGATGGCTATATTAAAAGTGTCGTAGATCGATGCTTCCACGGAAGATGGATGCAACGTTTGTTAACATAGTTTCTACATCTCAACATTTGAATATCTTCGAATCTCAAAATTCAAAAATTTTTGTTAAGAATTAACCCTCGAGTTAATTCCTAAGCAAATTTCTGATATCCCCAATTTTTTAAAATCTTCAAACCCTATTTCCTAATCTCCAAGTTCCTAAATATTCAGAAACTGTAATCTCCGTGAATCTCGAATGTACGAAAGTTTGCGTTCGTTTTTTAAATTTTGAAGGATGTAGAGAACGATCAGAAAATAGATCCTAATCGGTGGAACGTGTTTTCCGTATAATCTGGCGCTGTCATGTAGCCGATTTATACGCTTCGAACAACGACTGCCTGCTCACGTACCTCTCGTCCTCCGCAAGTCATCGCGGAAGATAAGCGACGCTGGTTTAATTTTAATTTTAATATGCATTAATCGCACGGTTTTCTGTTTACGCTAGCCAAACTTTCCCCTGAATCGTGGGATACAATGAGCGAACTCCGTGTACTCTTCAGTTATTTTCTTTTCGGAAGTTTATATTGTAAATCACGCTCGCCAGATTCTGTGCTCCGTACACTCTCGTATCGATGGAACTCTGTTCTCGATACCCACTGCGCTCTCGGCTAAAAAAAGAATTTTTCAGAAATATTAAGTGTTCCAAATCTCGAATAAACACACGTGTACTATTCTGTTCGCGCGAACACGTACGGATATTTGAATGCCACGCAAATGTACATTTCGCGAAAATATTTACGTCCAACCAAAAATATGCTGTTGTTCTCGAGTGCCAGTTTGTCTTCGCTTCGCATTCGTTTTTACGTACTTTACGTTTCATCTAATTCTCGGTTCGCAGGAAGTTGTTAGCTTGACGGAGAGCAAGACGAAACACGTTGACGAGCGAGTGGACGAGATTGGTGATCCAGCTGGAGGTGAGAGGAGAATAATTTAATCAAACGATGCTCTCCCATGTTCCTCCGCAATGCTCGAGTTTTCCCCGTGGACGCGACTGAAAGAGATAAATCGGTGGGAGGGGCGGCGGTAGCAAACAGTAATTTTGGTAGAAGCGGTATTATAGCGGCCGGTATCGCACTTATCACAAAATAAATCTAAAAGTATGGATATTGTCCTCGCGCCGGCTCGGTATCACGTAGTGCTTTTACGTTGCCCTAAACAGATTTTACGACGTCACGGAGATACACTTTGGTAAAGCCGTATCTGGCCTCGCCACGCTGAGGGGAGGAGCGTTATCCTCGAATTTCCCGCATTTAATAAGTAATTGTAAGTCTCCGCGTTATTACACTGTAAATCCAGTCGTTGGGGCAGACCACGATGCCAATAAACCGATTCCAGGGGACTGGCAAACTTTTTCTTTGTTCCTTATCCCGGAGATATTAGCGAACTTCTTTCGTGACGTCGAATATCTAGATCTCTCTGCACGTAATTTCCTTATGACAAAAAATTCGCTCGTACCGTCGAGAGCAAATTCAACATTCCTGGGGACGTTTGAAAAATGTTTCCACATTTCATTTGCACATTTATTTATGTGGACATAATAGATAGAATATTCTCAGAATATTCGAAATAAATTGTAACGCGATATTAATTTGTATTAACTATGGTTAAAGGATTAAACACGTTCATTATGTAGCAGCAGCGCCTGGCATAGTGGAGGAAGCGATCGACTCGACGGATGACCAATTAAAGCAGGAAGCTTCGGAACGTGATATCGCCGAATTACCGGAGTTATCAAAGACCACTGTGGCGGGAGATTCAAGTGTCACGTTAACGCCATCCAACGTTAACGTAGAACCATCGACTGCGTCAGTAGACGCTTCGCAGATCACTGTGATCGAAGTAACAGGGACGTCAGCGGGAGCTTCGAAGACTACTGTAACTGAGGCATCGAAGACTTCTGTAACTGAAGCGTCTAAGCTAACAAACGCATCGAAGATCGATGCAGGTAAAATTTTAGTTTATTATAGAAATTACGAAAACAATGAAATGAAAACACATCTGAGAGTAGTTTAACTTGCTCACTTCACTCTGTTCTAATTATGCATAGACCTTACATAGACCTTAGCTTAATAAAACTAGGTTATGATGTTTATAGAAGGTGTAGAACTTGAAGGGATGGGAATATGTAGGTGGTTTTGACAGATATATTACAGTTTGCAATTCTATAGCGACAGGGTATCAGTTTCGAATTGTGCTATCGAACATATAAATCCCCTAGCTGTCAACGTTACTTTACAGTAAACTCACAAACTCCCAAATGTAATTTATTTGTCGAGTGACGTTTAAAACCTAATTTGTTCTCGATGAAAAGAAGGCAAAGACACGGTTATGACTTGGCCACTCGGAACTCCATGGGAGCATTTGGGTCTAGAGGACGCGTGCGACGAGGAGGAATTCGAAGTAAGAGCTTTTCGTTTACCATTCACGAGTACTTGCAATGTTTCTTAAACTGCACTCGTCTCTTGTACGAATCGGTTCAATTTTATAACCAGAAACCTCTTGAGAAGTTTCTACGGCTCTTTGCCACGAACTCGCGCCGTCCTTCCGTAACTTTTCAGCTTTGGTCTTCACGCGACCGTAAAAACAAAGAGTTTTCTTTGCAGAAACTGCCGCTGCCAAGTAACGAGGAGGAGATGAGGGAGTTTCTGAAGAAGTTCACGCACGAGGCGACCGTCTACAGGTCGTATTACAAGCACTGGCAAGAGACGGCGAGTCAGGTAACGATTTTTAGGCACCGACCTTAAGTCCCTGCGGACACCGAACAGCTTTCTAAAGTGTCGCCAATTGCAGGCGACGAAGGAAGTTGGAGGCAGACTCGTGCTGGCTACCTATAGAGTGCAAGGAAGAGACGAGACGGGACGAATAAAGAGGCCTCCACGTAAGCCGTGCGTCGAGAAGGTCGATCGGAAGGTCAAAGCACCGTCCAAGAAAAACCTGTCTATGAAATCGGACAAGCAGTCGGTCGTGTCTGCGACTCCGGAAGTAACCGCTGATGAAGACAACCTCGATGCATCACAAATTGCTTCTGAAGCGACCCTTACAGCGCAATCGGGAGTCAGCCTTGGTGCATCGGAATCACAAAGCGTTTCCAAAGTGACCGTCATAGAGCGATCGGCAGCCAGCGTTGGCGCATCGAAGTCACAAACCCCTTCTTCCAGAGCGACCCTTAAAGAACGATCACAAGCGGTAATAGTAGCCTTATTACGGGTCTTTCGTGGTATCGTGAAACTTCCATCGGTATTCGCGGCCTGCTATATAAAAAGAATCCTTCAAACGATCGATTCAGAGCTTCGTTTCAGCTTTTAAGGGCTCTTTGAGAATTCTGGAGGGTTCTTGTATAAGTTTGCGTGGTTACACAAATTTGTCAGAGACTACGATTTCCTACTCGTAATTTCGTATGTCGATTTTATCCACCGAATTCTTCCTATCTTTATGGAAGAATATCACGGACAAAAATGGACGTTTGCTTGTTTATTACTGTATTTACTTCCGACGGCGTTTCAAAGTATCTTTGACTGTCCCCAATTCTCTGGAATATCTGCGAGCAAGTCGAAGTTTCTGACATTTGACTCCCGACTACTTTTTCCCTAGTTTTCGAATTTCATTAGGAGAGAAACATTGACAGGAAAAAAGAGAAAGCGAGATCAAACCGTTTTTTGTCCACGATGGTGAGACGGTCAGAAATAGAGATCACGTCGTACGGAATTACCAGATACCCGATGATACAAAACGTTTCCAACTGGCAAAAAGTTCCCGTAACAATTTTTATCCGTCGTTCAATAAATACTGAAGCGGGCTGACCTTTCGAGAACGAACGAATGCGCTTTTCTCTTATTTACGATCGAAGGCCCGCAATCTGTGGCTCGTTAAAGGAGCGATTCGTTTCACCGCGAGACTGCGAGAAAGGAAGAGCCTTTAATTGACAACTCGAGAGTTGATTCGCGTAATTAAACACCATCATCGTGGAGCGTTCAATGAATCTCTGACTCGCACATCTCTTTTTTCCCCGTCGATGTTACGTTAATACGGTTAAGGGGTTCGATAAATATCGGATAAACGTTTCATATTTTCTGAAATTTTTCTTCTCGCTTCTTCGCCGTTAATAATGGCCATCATTATCCAGCAAAAAGTCCGTTGCGATAAACGATCCAGATGCTCCTCTCTCTCTCTCGTTCTCTTCCTGAATGATTTCGATCTTCCTGGATTCCTACCAGTGTCTAAAGGTCTGCGAGTACAGTCGATTTATCCTTGTCGTCGTCATTAAGAGCCATTTAACTCTTGGTTATACGTCTCCTCGCTCGATATCGACGTATCGCCAGCAGCCAAGACTGATGTAACTTTCGATTGATATCGAGAGTGAAGATTAATGAGCAGCAGCTCTCGAACGTAAACATTAGTTCTTTCGATATTTAACGAGTCCCTGTGGAACAAATTCATACGACCTTATCTCCTTTAAATTTTCAGGAAAACTTCTGCCAACGTAGCTCCACTTCTGCCAATGTAGTTTCGGTGGAAATCGTTGATGTGGTTTTATTAAATGTATCGATCGTTCTGTATTCTCGTGTCCGTTTTAATTTTTACAGCGTCTCGACAAGGAAAGCCAGAAATCCATAGTAGTGGCTGATTGGATCAGGGACTGTGCACGAGCCATGGAACCCATACCTTACATCTTTTATGTGAAAGCGGAACCGGACATCGACATAGCTATAGAACACGATGACGAAGAAGTAATTCTAGCAGACCTAGATCGCGAAAACGTCGTTGCGAGTAGCAAACGTATCTTCTTCAATCTCAAGGACAAACCCTGCAAAGGAGGAAAGCCATGGATATGAAGACCAATAGAAGATCAATATTTCACGATACAATAACAGTAATCCGAGAGCCAAGTATACCAGTTTGTAACGTTTTCGTTTACAGCGAAATTTGCGCAATGTTTCGCGAACTTTTAACCGGGCCAATTTGATCGGAAAGGTAAGTTGCGAATAATGCGTACGGTAAACGAGAACTATTTTCAACTGGAATAAAATTGTTCTGTATTCAATGTTGGAGTAATGCTAAAAGCTGTAAAACATTGGCGTATTAAACTGTAACGAACCAATATCGAACCGAAGCAAATATTTACCAGATGTTGTAGTAATAATTTAGCCGCATTGTTCGTTGCCCAATGGTGTAGAACTAAGTCGAAAAGAGGCACTCCGTTGCGAGTTTAAAACGGAAAATCGTTCACAGGATAACCATGGAATTGAATCGATTTATGGTGGTCTCGATGTTCAGTCAAGCCTAAATTCTAGAAAGAAGCAAAATTAATTGTAACCGGTTAAAAATAACTAAAGTTAAGAGGACCACTTAGAGAAAGTTAACTGTGGAGTATAGCTATCCAAAGTTAACTGAACGTAAGATTACGTAGACAGAGTTAATTGTGGAAAACTAGAACCACAGTTAACCGAAGAAGCTAACTAAAGAGACCGAAGTTACCTAAACAAAGTAATTTAATTAAATAGAAAATTCAATCTAGGAAGCTAAGTGAAAGATATTAAAACTTGACTAGGAGTAACCTATCAAAGCTTATGATACTTTCCTTCAAACTATTCATCCGACTCGCTCAGGTAATAAAATCGATTGTACGATCACTTAGGGGCTCGTATCGCGAATCACCGATTTCGCTCGTATCGCGAATCCGATAACAACGATACATTCCCGGCAGATAACGAAAAGGCGTTTATTGTCGACGCGAGGTGAATTATTCCCCACACTTTTGGTTACGTGTGTTCGCTGTAAAATTCATCGTTCGCGGAGACATGAAATATGAAACGATCTTCAGAGTTTGATTCACCGTCACTCTGATGTCTTTCAGCGAACCAACTTCCTCAGTCGCATCCAGATTCCGTGTAATATCTGCATTCGACATCAAAGACGATGCTACCTGTCAGCGTCATCTATCCCGAGTCATCGTTGGATCTACGATCAGTGGCTTATTATGCGGCATCAAAGACCTCGTGTTTGCCGATGTCCACGAACCTAGAATATCGTTTTACCGTGCTGATTATATATCCGGAGTCCTCTTATCCTTTGCGACTCAAAGATGTTAATTTTCGTGTCAGTCAAATACCATATGCTAGGATTTTGTAACAAACTATCGAGTGCAGTGCACTAATTTTTCAGAGGTACAGTTGAAATGCTGTGTTCATTTGGAAAATTAATCTGAAGCAAAATTGTAATAGTCTCGATGAAATTTGTACTTTCGAATGATATTAAGCTAGCAAACCCTCGTCCCAAGTATATTATTTCCTCTGCAAACTCCATCGAAAGTTCTCGCGGAAAAAATTAGCTCGGTTTATTAGAAAGAATTTACTGCGAGAAGAGGGTCATCCTAGGGAACTTTATCCGAGTAGTAATCCTAGTTCCATAAAGCCAATATCTGCATTTATAAAGCATATGAAAAATTGTCAAAGTTTACGGAAGTCTTAACCGAGCTTGCGGCCTCGCTTCTAGCAACATTGACAATGTATTCTACTCGAAGAAAGTTTTTTAAAGCATGCAAATTGAAAAGCTCGCTAGGCGATGGACCATCTAAGAGCAGTGTAACTCAAGGTACGTTTAATGGAACTTCATAAATTTCTGGCCATAGTTAGTGGGCCCTAGATCGATCGTAATATTGCCCGTCGTTTACGAACGTTTCCAGGACTAATTAACGACACTGTTATAATTAACACCTGGAAGCAGACGGTGCATACACGTGACGACGTTCCATGGATCGCTTAACGCATTATCCTGGTTTGTCGGCGTAATTAATTTCCTACTAGATAGCAAGTTCGCGAACACGGGTCGGATTCGATCTGCAAAGAAAGAAACGCAAACGCACGAAGTTGGATTAAGAGGAGAGTTTCAGAGGTTTGTTATTTGATTTTCTTTGGAGTTACGATTCGAGATTACGGTTAGGTCCACTTGAACAAGAGTCTCGATGTTCCAAAGCATTAGTGGTCAGATGTTAAACGGATTACGGGTGCAGAGTTTGATGAGGTGTCGGGGACTTTGTAATTTAAAATTCGGAGTTATTTAGCGATATAAAAATATGGAAATGCAGATGCAGTAGCCTGTTTCAAAGGAAATTTTAGATGTAGATTAGAGAAGCTCATGGTTGGTCTATTTGAAGAAAATCGCACGAGGTCGGTGTTATTTTACGCGGCGACGATCAAACGAAAATTCTTCCCGTAAAAAATTCCACTTTATACTCGCAATGTTTCTCCTTGTTCATTGAACTCGGTCGTATTTACATCTCATTAATTTTAACGAGCATTGAATTTACAGGCAAGGGACAGCGAAGCTAGCGGATTACTTTTCTGCGTATAATTTTCGAAACGAATTTCGTAAGAAGTTAAATAAACGGGAGGCTGATGATTTCGGAGGAAGTAAAAAAGTAAGAAGCGGAAAAGCAGCGAGGGTTAATAAAGTTCAAAGGACCTGTTTACGTAACGAAATATTAGCAGGTGGAAGAGAAGGTGGCTCGTACGCCGTCAACGGTCTTGGTTGCTCGGTGAGACGGTCTTATTTGGGGTCGACCCCATTAATTTCTTCCACGTTGAAACGGCAGGTTCGCGATTTCTAATCCGAAAACGGAAGTTGCTCGTATCGGCAGTTTTCTGAGCTCTTCTATCCCTCGTGATTTATTATTTGAGGAGTAATCGATCGTCGAGGGGCCGAGACAAGGCGAAAAATAATTTTTAATCCACGCTCGTCGATCAAGCAGACGTCCGATAGACGCTTTCGCAGAAACAGGGACCGTTCTCTGTATTAACGATACAGGTATGAAGCGTGATTTACAATCGACCGTATAACTCGTAGCAGCTCGCATCGGGAAACAGACTATCGATGCATTTTCTCAGCAAGCCGTTTCGCTGCGTGTGATTTATAATAGCTGCATCGCCTAGCTGTTTCGTGGAACCGTTGATTACGCTCCAATATCGCCTCCCTTATTGAGTTTCGAAGATTAAACGGGCCTGGCTCGTACGAGTTGCTTTCATTTTCCCATAGATATCGTTACGGCGCCATACGAATGTCCCCGTTAAGCGATAGAACGTTTTACCCTGCTTCTTTTTATCTACCTATAAATTCAATTTAGTGTACTTGCAACGCTGAAATATTTGTAAGTTTAGACAGTTTTACGGGGACCCATTTGACCCCGTGGAAACACGTGCGCGTGCTCGTGAGAAACGCTCGGCGAGTATGCATCTGCAAGGAGAAAGAACGAGGTTGAGAACGAGAAAAAGAAGCGGGGAAAATTGAACTGCCAGATGCGCTTCAGGGAAAAAAGAGCTGACTGAATAACGCTTTATAATCCTGTCCGCTTTCTCCCGTTCTCGTTGATTTATAAACAAACATTTCCACGTCTCTCTGCATACGTATGCCTTGCAACGTGTTTATTCAAAACTCGAATAACGCGAAACTGGACGCCATTTCCAGGGGGAGAAAGGTTCATTCGGGGCTGAGTGGCTTTTGTGCCGTGTTACCCTCAATGGAATTTTTCGTTTTCGAACAAAAGACACGCAGGGATGATTTCGTAGATCGCGCCAACTATTATTGTTCTCTGCGTTTGTATTTCGGAATATGGAATACAATGCCCGATAATACAGCCAATGAAAATGGTACGATATCGCGATACAACTTGCTCATACTATGCGTTAACCCCTTGCACTATGGCTTATTTGTCAAGTGCGTCGGTCAGAATTAATTAATTACAGCTACAATATTAATACAGACAAAATAATTTGAAATGTTATGTCAATATGTTATTATACAATCGTTGACTATGCAAATTATAATTGGACTTGAACTTCAAATTGAAGCGTACTAAAAATTCGAGTAAAATTGATCACGGCCGAAGTACGAGTCTGACTCGTCAAAATAGTGCAAGGGGTTAACTACGTCGACAGTTTAACAGGTAACATGCTGTATAAACGGTGAAAACATATAGTAGCAACGCAAGTACTTTGTCTAGAACATAATGACAGTTCCCTATCAATAATTCTGATTTACCCTCTGCACTATCGACTCGAGAGCTCCATATTAAGATAGATCATGAAATAGGAACATAAATTGTGAAAATAGGGGTACCTATCACTACGGTTTATTTAGTCTATTGACTCGGAGAGTGTGACTGGAAGTTCGTGTAACCTCCCACGCGGTTGATTTATGGTTTCAATCGCGTCGCAAAACACGCTCGCTGTTTTAAATGTAGATTTATCGATCATTTGCCGTCTCGAAGGAGCGGTGGGAACAGACGGTCATATGTTAGCTGCATTAGTACCACAAGTGGCTTTCAATCGAGCTGCACTACTGCCTCTTTGAGGACGAGCGTTCTCTCGCGTCGATATTTGGGTATTCTCGAACGGAGAAATCTCGCCATTCGAAGGAATAGTTTCTAGACCATCTTCTTTTCTCGAGTCGAATTCGATTCCGTTCGATTCACCGGGAGACGAATTTATGAGCGCAGGGGTTCGTTCGTAGCTCGTCGAAAACGAGATCCGTTGTTTCCCCCGAAACGGAATTCGATTTCTTTTCGATAATATCGCGAAATAACTTCACCCCGAATCGGTGTAACGGATTTACAGACAATTATGCTAACATTAAGGGCTCTCCATGGAAGGGAATTGCTTTCGAACGGTTTTCTTCCGTTTCATTTCGATTCAACGACGCTTGGTAGCAACCGCCGAACGTTTTAGTTCGATGAAAGTTGAATGGTGGTCGGGAAACCGATGTTACAAAGGCAAACATCGGAAATCTAATGTGTATTTCCATTCTCGCGCGACTTTCGTGTATGAACGAGAAAAATATTGTAAATCGCGATTCAAGAATCTTTCGGAGGAAATTTATCGATAAGCTGCCGATCGTGCACAAACGCTCGAATCGATACGATAAATTTGCAGATTTCATTTTGGGTCAGCGTTAAATCGAGATACAAACGTATCGTGACAGAAATGTTAGACAGGTCGGTAACACGCGATAAAATATTCGCTTGATGCGTTTCCCCGTGTTAATGGAGTTTGAAGGAAATTATAATGGACGTCGCTGATCGTACGTTGCAATCCTACAATTCGCAGGAG